GTGCCAGCTACTTATAGACTTTTTAAAATATATGGCCATTTGATATCAGTTATCATGATTATAGCAGTTGTCATTTGGTAAAACAAATTATATATATATCTGTCCAAGTTATTAATTTCAATATGAAATATCTCTGAGGAATATTTTATTACAAGGACATTATATGAAACCTAGGTGCTTAGTTTTTTTAAAAAAAAAACAAGCTTAGATTTCTTATTATATCACTAATCCTTAGAAGGATGTGTATTTTCATTTAACACATGGTTAGGTTAGGAACATGGGCTTTGTAATTCATGTTCTCAGTTAACAGCACTGCCAATTACTGTTTAACCTTTTGAGTCTTGTTACTTTCCTTATTAGTAAAGTGGCAGTTGTAGTTAAGGTTAAATGAGAATATAAAGTCCTTAGCATGTGCCTAGCTCATAGTAAGTACTCTGTTTGTTAGCTGCTATCACCAGTGTTATTTATTAGTCATAAACAATAAAATATGTTACAAAACATTTTGTGCAGAATAGAAAATTGAAACCGTAATGGCTGACTTCAGGCCATGTATAGTCCAAGAGTCATCTTTTTTACCTTGTCTTTTTGATGTGAATTCTGCCATTCATTGGCTTTATGTCTTTAGACTAGTTATTTAACCTTTCTGTGCTACATTTTGTCCTGTGTGTAACAGAGGTAATTATAATAGAGGGCTGCTGTTGATTCTTAAGTACTTGAATTGATGTTCTAGAACAATGCTTGGCACATAGTAAGTGCTCAATAAAAGCTATTTTTAGAATTAATATTAACATTATTCAGTTATCAGTGTGCTCAGCTAATTACACAGACTGCTAATGATAGAACCAAATTTATACAAGAGCAAAAACTGACATGGTAAAAATTTCTTTAAAAATATTTATTTTTTAGTTGGACACAGTACCTTTATTTCATTTATTTTTATGTGGTGCTGAGGATTGAACCCAGGGCCTCACATGTGCTAGCAAGTACTCTACCACTGAGCCTCAGCCCCAGCCCAGCCCAGCCCGACATGGTAAAATTTATAATAGATTAAACATTGACAGAAATGTCATCCTCCTGATCAAATTTAGATGTGCAAAAATTTGAACAGGGAAAATTGTATATAGTAGAAATAATGTAGAACTTCAGATGCAGAAGTTCTAATGGGTCAGTTGTGAAATGAAATAAACAAAACTTCTAATCAATAAATTTAAACTCATTTAAAAATGTTTACCTGTTAAGAATTGGTCCTGGGGCTGAGGTTGTGGCTCAGCAGTAGAGTGCTCCTCTATCACATGCGAGGCCTGGGTTTAATCCTCAGCACAATATAAAAATAAATAAATAAAGGTATTGTGCCCAACTACAACTAAAAAATAAATAAATATTAAAAAAGAATTGGTCTTACTGAAAATGGGTATGGATTCAATGGACAGGGCTAATTGCTGAGTGAAAAAAAATGATAGTGAAATGAAATTGATTTAAAGGAGTTAGATTCACTTTAAATGTTAAAGAAAGTACACTAGTACTTGTATACTTTTCACTAATGTTTTTGTATTAATAAAGCATGGAATTAAAATTTCCTCAGGCTCGAAACACTAAGGGAAGTAAGAGTTTAAGTGGTTGATAGTGTTAAGAATCATAGAAGGTAAAAGCTGAATAAAAGAGAAGAACTTGTCATTGGGTCTTGATATTGTTAATGGGGTCTTGATATTGTTACTGAACAGAAGTTTTATCAAGAGAGAACAACTAAACGATTACATTGGGTAGAGTAACAAATGGGAAATACAAAAAGAGAAATAACAAATGAAACTATGGAATTTAGAACTTATCCCTTAAACAGTAGAGGACAATCACAAACTTTTTGATTGAAGGAAGAATGTGATTGAAAGTGCTATTTAGGGAACTCTGGTGCCAGCATTTACAGTGGATTGCTGGAGGATAAAAATGGCAATACAGAGACTAATTATTGGGCTGGGGATGTGGCTCAAGCGGTAGCATGCTCACCTGGCATGCGCAGGGCGCTGGGTTTGATCCTCAGCACCACATAAAATAAAATAAAGATGTTGTGTCCACCGAAAACTAAAAAATAAATATTAAAAAAATTCTCTCTCTTTAAAAAAAAAAACAGACTAATTATTAGGGCAGTGGTGGGAAATGAAGAAGAAGGAATGACAGGGAAGCATTCTAGAACAGAAAATCTTGTGTTCTGTGTAGCCAAATAAGAGATTTTAGGCTAATGGCAAATAGAGAAATCAAGGAAAGAAATTGGTTTGTGGAAGATGATGATAACTTTTCAATGAAGTTTTATTTGGTAGCACATTTGTATGGAAACGAATAGCAGTCAGTTAGAAACTAGAGCTGCTGTGAATTCTCATACTTGGTGTTAGAGAATCAATGTGGACTTTATATAAGGTAACTGATCATAAGAATAGTCGGGGATTAAAGAAGTACCTTATGAAGAAGTTTTTTAACTTGGGGTATATGAAAGCTTCAGGGAGGTCAGGAATTATATACAGAACTTTATGAATATTATATTTTTGTTTTGGAAAAGTGAGTTTTGTATTATTGCCAAGAGTCTGTGACACAAGGGGTAAAAATCACTGCTAGAAAAAGTAAACCAGGTAACTAAATATGAAGACAAGACTAAATACCAAAAACAGAGAACCAAAATAAAACTAGGATTGAAAGTTGCAGAAAATGACAACAGAGGGAAAGATAGAAGTAGTAAACCAGACATTAAAAAAAAAAAAACTGAAACGGTATAGGTTGATGTTTTATTTTTTCTGATGCCAGAAATACTCCATATTCCTTAGATCCTGTATAATTTGCAGTATATTAGTTGATCATCATCATGATGACCTAGGAATTAAGAATTATCTTCCATAGACCTATCAGTAGTAAAAAAGAAAATCGCATAACACATTTAGAATGATTTTCATCCAGAAGTATAAAGTAATGTTTTGCTATATAAAAAGCATAAGGTATGTATTATACAGAGTTACATGTTATCAGAACTTAGCTCTGTAAATTTTACTGATAAAAATTTGTTCCCTACATTACTGTAGTTTTGGTACTTGGTTGAAATAATTGGTTTATGTCAGATGAAGCATTCTATTCTCCTGTGGGCCATTTGACTTTGAATGTTTTCTTGGGGATCTTCTACTAGCCAGATGGGGGCAGACAAACCTGGACTACAGTATCAGGGCTTTAGGTTAAAGGCAGACAATTCTGGTAGTGCTCGTAAAATAATTATGATCTCATTAAAAAAATTATGGCACTATTTGGATGAGGTTATTCCAAAGGAGTGATTTTTCCCATTTGATGAGGTAAGTATTAGCTAATGTGGTCTACCTGTTGCAGATGTGCTTCCTGAAAAGTATTTTAATCAAAATACTCCTAGCATCACAATTACTAGAGAGGTAATACATAACTCATGGAATTAAAAAGTTTCTATTTGGACATCTTTTTTTAGTAACTGGGGCAAGAGATACCAAGTATTTTAATTAAGAATTTAATCTTTTGAGGCAGGATATTGCTATGTTGCTCAAGCTAGTCTTGAACTTGAGTACTCAAGCAACCTTCCTGCCTTAGCTGCCTCCCAAGGAGCTGGGACTATAGACGTTTGCCCAGCCATTAATCATTTTTAATAATTTTAATTTAACATCCATTTTGATCCTAATATGTTAAGGAGTTAAACATTTTTTTCTTTAGTCATGCCAGTTCATTAGATTGTTTTCTCTTTTTTGAAATTCTAAGTTGCCACTCTTCTTTCAATTATATGAATTAAGTGTGAAATGATAGACAAGTTATTTTAGAAAGGTTTTTGTTTGTTTGTTTTATGCTAGGGATTGAACCAAGGACACTTTACCCCTGGGCTACATACATCCCCCAGCCCTTTTTGTTTTTCATTTTGAGATATTCTGTGTTGCTGAGACTGTCCTCAAACTTGGGATTCTCCTGTCTCAGCCTTCCAAGTTGCACAGTGTGCCACTGTGCCTGGCTAGGAGGCTTTTTATAATGAAGATTTAGATATATTTTTGTTTTTGTGCGAAAGTTTTTGTATCGGAACTTATTTGGAAAGAATTTCTTAAGTGACTTCCTTGATTCACATTATAGCATAGAAAAGGAAATGGAAAGGTTTCATGCTTCTTTGATTGATTTCTTTGTGTTTTCAATGATCATTTCCATTTTTATCCATTTTTATTTCTGTTAGAGTAAAATAGAGTTTTCGGTAAATGTGTACTTCTATCATTTGTAGCAGTGCTGTCTAATAGCAATATGTAAGCCACATGTGTAATTTAAAATTTTCTAGTAGTCACATTACAGGGAGTAAAAATAGGTAAAATTAACATTTTTACTCAATAGATATAAAGTATTATTTTAATATATGATCTGTGTAAAAATTATTGAGTTGAAAAAAAATTTTTTTTAATTATTGAGTTGTCTTCTTCTTTCTTTCTTTTTTTTTTTTTTTTTTTTTGGTGTTGTGCTAGGGATTGAACCCAGGGCCTTGTGCATGCTAAGTGGACACTCTACTACCAAGCTTTATCTGCAGTCCTTATTTCATATTAAGACTTTGAAATTCAGTTTGTATTTTATACTTTCAACTTATTTCAATTTGGATTAGCCATATTTCAAGTGCTCAGTAACCGTATGTGGCCAGTGACTACTATATTGTACAGATGAGGTCTGTAGAGTCAAAACATATTCTTAGTATCTGGATACTAAAATGAAATGATGAATGGAAAGAAAATTAATTGTATTTGGTGAATATAATAACTAGTTACCAAAACCCCAAAATATGATTATCTTTAAAGACAGTAGAACTGGGCTTTTTTACTCATTGAGACATTAAGTGGAGAAAATAGCTGGGAATATTGAGTAGATGTAACTTTTACTGTTTGGTTGCCCTTAATACCTGAATTATGGAATTGTATTATTTTTTTACTGTGTATACATCTCCATGCTTCCATGAAATTTCAGTATGTGTTTGTAACCTTTAGCATAAATGCAGTTCCAACTACAATGAAGATTTTGTGCTACAGCTGGAGAAGGAATTGGTCCAAGCCCGACTGAGTGAAGCTGAGTCTCAATGTGCACTAAAGGAGATGCAGGATAAAGTCCTGGATATAGAAAAGGTAAGAAATTACACAAATGCTGTTCACCCCTAAATTAGAGGGGAGATGTGGTAGGTATTTATTAAGTATTATTGAGTAATTAAAATTAAACTTGGTAATTTTACAATGTTAGAAAGTTAGAACAAAGAAGAAATATTTTAAAGATTGCCAGCTCTTCTTTGTTGCTACCATACTAATCCAGGCCTTAAAATTAAGGACAAAAATGAAAATTAGAGCTCTTTTAGAAGAAAACAACCAGGATAATGTTCATAGAAAGAATATTTAAATGTTGAAGAAGAAAAACTTAGGTAACAGAAAGGAAGTGTCCTCAAATATTGCAATATCTATATGTAGAAGAGACAGAATAGGACTAGTTCATAGAAATTTCAGAGAAAAGTTCCTCTGAGTGTAATATTTAGAACCAAGCTAGAACAAGTCACCTCAGGATATATGGGAAATTCCCCTTATCCTGAGTGGTGCTTATTTATAGGTACTCACTTACTTCTTCTCCAGTATATCAAAGAATGTCAAGACCTAGTAGATAAGTAGAGTTAATAGAAAAAATTACAGGTTTTTTATAACTCAGATTTGAGCAACTGTGCTCTAGATCACAAACTGAATCTTTTTTTTTTCTCATCTATAAAATCATTGATGTTGAGTTCATTCTTTTTTGCTCTTAGGTATTTATTTATTTATTTATTTTAGTTGTAGACACACACAATATATTTATTTATTTTTATGTGGTGCTGAGGATCGAATCCAGGGCCTCACACATGCGAGGCAGATACTCTTCCACAGAGCTTCAGCCCCAGCCCAGTCCCTAGGTATTGTTGAATCAAGAAGGCTTATAGAAAATCAACATAACAGCCTGAGTTGTTCTTAACTATTTCTTTTTTTTTTAAGATGTTGATGAACCTTTTGTTTTTTTATTCATTTATTTATATGCAGTGCTGAGAATCAAACCCAGTGCCTCACATATGCTAGGCAAGTGCTCTACCACTGAACCACAACTCCAGCCCCTTAACTATTTTTTAAAGAACTAGAACAGGTGTAACTAGAATCAGAAGTGGAATAATTTTGCTAGAAATCTGCTTGCTGTTTGTATATTATCTGGAAAATGTATTCTTTAATTTTTTTTTTKTGTGTGTGTATATGTGAAAAAAGCAAGCAACAATGCTGAAAGAAATACCTAACATAATATTTGGTTTCTAATCTAGGAATATTCAGGGCTCTATGGTTTAGATAAGAATCTAAGTCTTACATTTGGAAAGACTAAGTATTTGGTAGAAAGAAGTGTATTTGGGTCCAGTTAAAAAATCGGTTTCTTAGATGGTGAAATGAGATGGACATCATTACCCTAGGTACATGTATGAAGACATGAATGATGTGACTCTACTTTGTGTACAACCAGAGACATGAAAAACTGTGCTCTATATGTGTACTATGAATTGAAATGCATTCTGCTGTCATGTATAACAAATTAGAATAAATAAATAATTTTTTTAAAATGGGTTTATTGCCAAGGGGAATGGCATGTACCTGTAGTCCCAGCTACTTGGGAGGCTGAAGTAGGAGTATCCCTTGAGCCTAGGAGTTCAAGGCCAGCCGGGGAAACATAGTGAGGCCTTGTATGATTTCTTAAGTGGCTGTGTTGATATTCACGTTTTAGAGTAGAAAGTAAGTTAGAAGTTTGCATTATGGTTAACTTCATTGTACAACATTTTCTTTCTCTGCTTCCAGTAATCTTTTTAAAAAAATTTTTTTCCTTTTTTTATTTGTTTCTTACATACATGACAATAGTGGAGTGCATTACATTCATGATTATCCATTCACAGCACAATTTTTTGTAACTCTGTATGTTCACGCCAAATTATGCCATTATACATGAGCTCTCATTTTTTTTTTGTGTACAATTCTTAATACACCTTTATACCATTCCAGTAATCTTTTTAATGCATATACATTAGTATATCCTGATCTTCAGTTTAGAGAATGTTTAAAATCCATCATAAAAATGTGCATAATTTGTGAAAGTACTTTATTCTATAATCCCTGTGGGCTGAAATCTTTGTGACCTCCATAAAATATTTTAGAGATAGAAAATGTCATAGAACCAGGCCTTGAAATCTCAACAGTATCTTAGTTTATCTAGGGAACTTTCTCTAGGGCTGTTTTTGGATCTCCTGTTAGCTCAGTATTAAACTGCTCTGGAAAGTTATCAGGTGGGTCCTTTAGTATGGCAGGAGATTGATTTAAGTCTTGTATCCATCAAGCAAATATTTAGGTCATCTTGGTATTAATTTCTTGACTATTGATTTAAATAGTGACCGATACACAGAGATTTGATACCCCTCTTCCAAGATAACGTGCTAAGAAAATAAAAACAGATTTTGGACTGTTTTCTTTAAGTCTTTAAATCAGCAATATTTATAAGAACCCCAAAGTGCAAACAATCCAGATTTCCTTTCGCTGATGAATTAATAAATAAAAATGTGATGTTTTTACAATAGAATATTATTTAGCAATAAAAAGAAATGAATCTTAAAAACATTGTGTTAATTGAAATAAGCTAGTCACAAAAAAAACACATATTGCATGATTCCATTTACATGAAATGTTCAGAATAGACCAATCCATAGACACACAAAGTAGATAAGTGGTTGCCAGGAACTGGGGGTTAAAAGAATGAATAATTACTGTTAATGGGCATAAGGCTTCTTTTAAAAAAATTGTTTTAGTTGTAGATGGTCACAATATCTTTATTTTTATGTGTTGCTGAAGATCCAACCTAGGGCCTCATGCATGCAAGGCAAGCGCTCTACCACTGAGCTACAACCCCATCCCCATAAGGTTTCTTTTTTGTGTGTAAAAATATTCTGAAATTAGAGTTTGGTGATGACTAAATAACTCACTTATATACTTTAAAAGGATGAGTTTTATGTTGTATGAAATATATTTCAATAAAACTGAATAAAATAAAGTATTTAATTACATATGGTACAAAATAGCTCTGTGTGTACCATATGTTGTTTCTTGAATTCAAATATTTCAAGTTAAATTTTCTCTCAATTAGAGAAACAACTCCTTTCCTGATGAGAATAATGTTGCAAGGCTTCAGGAGGAACTCATTGCTGTGAAGCTGAGAGAAGCAGAAGCCATTATGGGTTTGAAAGAACTTAGACAGCAAGTCAAGGATTTAGAAGAACACTGGCAGGTACACCAATATGTTTTATGTACTTTTCAGAAATATCCAGTTTGTTTGAAGTCGCTGATGTTTGAAGTAGCTGATGATGATGGTTAAGTAGGAGATGGTTAAGTTTAAAGTGAGAAAAATCCTTGCTTAATGTCAAGATTTATAATTTGAAGGTGCACTTAAACTGTTTCTTCCTTCTTAATTCTTATAATTAAATAAAAGATAGAAATCAGGTGATTTTTTTGTTGCATGATTGTGTATTACATAACATTTTCTGCAGAAATCTAAGAAAATACTCTTTTTATACTGTACACATTTTTTCTAATGTTGATATTAAATCATTGACAATCAGTGTGAAACATCAGAAGGGTAACAGCAATATAAATTTGTCTATAAATTTGTAACTTCTTTTAAAAATAGTTATCTCATAAAGTATATGAAATTTAACTAATTATATGCCCACAAATTTATCCACATATGAGGAAAATTATTGACAAGGAAGAAAATACAAAGCTCTGAAAGACAGAAAAGAACAAGGGAATTAAAAAAAAAAAAAACACACATAATTTCAGAATTGGTTTGAATTGAGGGGAGGCAAAGACATCTGTCCAAGACTAAAATTAGACTTTTACAGTGTCATGGCTTTTTAAAAAAAATGTATTTTGTAGAAAGTATCAGGTTGCAATAAGCTGAAAATCAAAAAACAAAAACTCAGAACTGGTCCTTAACCACAAATTTTGAGAAGCACTGCATGTAACTTCTAATGTTGCTTCTTAATGAATGACCCTATTCTTTTCTTTGTGTTTCGTTGAAGATAATGTGAAAAAATCTCTAATAAAGATTAGGGTGAAAATTGTACTCTTTACTAGAATTACTCCTCAGTATATGCAGAGAAAAAATTTGAATTACATCTGAGTCCAGGTCTGCCACTTACTTTGTGACTGTGTGACTTTCCTGAAGTTACAAAATCACAGTGTCTATTTTCTTACCTGTAAATGAAGATAATAGTGCCTAACTTTTAAGATTTCCTGCGGATTTAATGAAACAATATGTAGAACACACTTAATATAGTACCAGTCCTGAAATATGTGCTTTGTAAAGTTAGCTCTTATTTTGATACAGAGTTTTTGTTGCAATATAAGTTTTGTGCTTTAGCGCCATTTAGCTCGTACTACTGGGAGATGGAAAGACCCACCTAAGAAAAATGCTGTGAATGAGTTGCAAGATGAATTGATGACCATTCGACTTAAAGAAGCTGAAACACAGGCAGAAATAAGAGAAATAAAACAAAGAATGATGGAAATGGAGACACAGGTATGATGGGAAAGCCCAAGAGGTTTGAAAGTATCATTAGCAGATCAAAATTTTGTACACAGATTGTATCATACCTAGAATAAAGGTAAAAAGTGAGGTATGGGTCTGTCTAGGCAGTGATTTTCTAGCCTAAATGAAGAGGGCTAAAAATTGTTTTCAGAGATTTAATCTCTGTTTCTACCCATTCAACCAAGTTTAAGCAGGATAGAGACTTCATTTGACTTTATTAGGTAAAACTCAGACCTTTGTTGCATAGCTTGGGAAGGAACATTCATGTAGAGCAAAATTTCTCAACCTCCACACTTAAAATTTTGGCTTGATATTCTTTGTTTTATGAAGCTGTTCTGGATACTGGAGGATATTTAACAGCATACCTGGTCTCTACCCACCAGATGCCTGTCACATCTCTCTCCCACTCCAGGTTGTTTTGACCAAAACTGTTACCATGCATTTTCAGTTGTCTTTGGAATGGAGATTGGGAGGGCAAAATTGCCACTAATTGAGAACCACAACTGTGGAATAATGCTTCCTCAAATTATGTAATGAGTAATCTGTTGTAAAATTGTTTACTGTTTTTCTCTAAAGTCCTCTATTACTCTAATAAATCCTATTTTAAATATAATTAAGATCTGAAAGGGCCTTTTTATGAAATCCATTTACATTGTAAAAACATATTTGATTTCTTTCCTTTTTGGATCCAGGGTTCTTAACCAATGAGCCATATCTCCAGCCCTTTATATATTTTATTTTGAGACAGAGTCCTACTAAGTTGCTCAGGGCCTCACAAAATTCCTGAGGCTGGCTTGGAACTTGGAATCCTCCTGCCTCAGCCTCCTGAGCCACACATTTGGTTTTTATGTGGTACATTTGCATGAACCATATTTTGTATGTAGTTGTTACTTCTTATCCATGAGATTGCTTATAGGATCCCTTTCAGATACCAAATCTGCAGATGCCCAAATCTATTATATTAAATGGTGTAGTATTTGCATATACCCAGTGTTATTCTCCTATATACTTTATTTATTTATTTTTTTAATTGTAGGTGGGCACAATGCCTTTATTTTTATTTACTTATTTTTATGTGGTGCTTAAGATCAGACCCAGTGCCTCACCTGTGCTGGGTGAGTGCTCTACCACTGAACCACAACCCCAGCTCCTCCTATATGCTTTTAATCATCTCTAGATTGCTTATAATGCTTAATACAATGCAAATGGTTTGTAAGTAATTGTTATGATGTATTGTTAAGGAAATAATGACAAGAAAAAAGTCTGTATGTGTTCAGTTACAGATGAATTGTATTTTTTAAATTGTATTTTTTAAATTGTATTTTGATCCTTTGTTGGTTGAATCCATGGACACAAAATGCAAGGCTCCAGAGGGCTGGATGCTATTTGGTTTTCAAAGTATTTATTCAGTCAGTAGGGGGCAGTGTTAACTCATGTCATTCTGTATTCCATTGTGCAAAAAGATCTGCCTATCTCAAAATGAATGTGTGATTTCTTTAGATTATATAGATTTTGCTTTACATTTTCACAGTTATTTGTTGTATTTTCAGTGTAAATAAAATAACACTGAAAAGATACTATAAGATTATGAAGAGTAGAATATCTAGGTTTTATAGTGGGAAATAAATTGATTATTTTCATTATTTATTATATAGTTATTATTTTTATAATCAGAATTTATCTTAATATAGACAATAAAAATGTAAATACAACTTTTAAAATATATATATTTTTTTAGTTTGTAGATGGACACAATATCTTATTTTTATTTGTTTATTTCTATTGGTGCTGGGGACCAAACCCAGGGCCTCATGCATGCAAGGCAAGAGTTCTACCACTAAGCTACAACCTCAGCCTGTAAATACAACTTTTAAGCCAGTGTTGAGGATTCTTCTCACAGTAGGTAGAGGTGAATGGAACATATTCACAAACATGGTTTTAAGAACTTTGAACAAAAAGCACTGTTCCAGCCATCAAGGACTTATATTTTAGTAATATGCTTGCCCAATATGACTCAGAAATCTGGTAAGTAGACAGTTAGATAGAAATTGCTAGAGGAAATTAATTCCAGTTAGGTGTTTTGGGGAAAGACTTTTTAAGGAATTTGTGTTTTGAACTGTTCCAGACAGGTAGGTATGATTTTGGATAGATTTTGCTGAAAACTGATTTCTAAATGCCATTGCTCCAATGGGTGATAATCCATGTAGTTTTCTCATTAAAAAATGAGAAAAACAACTAGAAACTAGTGTAACAGTGGTGGTACATAGTCATCTAATGAAATTATGTCAAACACTCATATATCCACCTTCCAGATTGAGATTTACCCATATTGTTATATGTAACTCCAATTTCTTCATTTTAAGAACTTTTAGATAAGTCTGTCTAGTGAGTATATGTCATTTTATCGAGCCACTGTCCTTGCTTTATACAGATTTTTGCTATTGCAAATAATGCTACTCTGCACATTCGTGCATGTATTTCCGTGTGTATGTCTCCATGTGTTTGTTAAGTATAGTACTTGCTTAATGTGCATGAATACTTTTGGCAGTCTGAAGCCTATGAACCCCTTCCCTTCTCAAAACAATGTTTTTGAATGCATAAAACAAAATACACAGGATTGGGAAACAAACCATTTATATTGAGGCACATTTATCAAAATACTAAAAACAAATATGTGACACAAAATACAGACACAACACAAAACACATTCCTTTTGGTGAATTTAAGTTGTTATTTATTTATTTTGGTATTTAAATTCACAAGTTAAATTGTAAGTATTTTCCCATCCTTTTATATTTTCAACTTACCTGATTTTTTTTTAGATTTTTTTTAGATAAATAGCATATAGATAGCTTTTAAAATTGAACCTAACAAACGGTTGTTTAACTCTGAAATACCAAAAACTACTGTTAAAGTTATTTAAAGTAGGTGAATTTTATATATAATATATAATAAAGCTATTTAAAATCCTGTCTCATGGAATGTGTTTGTTTTGTGGTGCTGGGAATTTGTTTGTTTGTTTTGTGGTGCTGGGAATTCAACCCTGGGCCTTGTGCATGCAAGGCAAGCACTCTACCAACTGAGCTATGTTCCCAGCCCTACTCCATGTTTTGTGATTCTGTTTGGATTACTCTCTATCACCTTGCTAGTTATTTTCTGTTCATTCATCTATTCTTTATTTTTTCTTCTTTGACTACCTTTTCTTGGGTTTATAGCACATTTATTACGGTTTTATTTTATTTTCATATTATTTATACTCCTTTTAAGAAATTTTTTAGTGATTATTCTAGGTTTTTTAGTACACACCTATAATCAGAGCTTACTTTCAAATAATGTTATTAATTAAAAATAATGAATTGTTTCATGTGTGATAAAATCCTTACCATCTTGTATTCTTAATTCTTCCTCTTGTGCTATTGTTGTTATACATTAGTATAACATATGCTGATAATTTTGCTTTTAATCAGTGATTATTTCATAGATTTTAAATTTTTTAATGAATTGTTTTCCCTTTACTTATTCCACTTCAGCACTCATTTCTTCTTGTAGATCTTTATATTCCTTCTACTTGGAAAGCTTCATTTTATATTTATAGTAGTGCTGGTCTACTGGCATGCAGTTTAGGATTTGGGGGAGAGTGAAGGGAGCCAGTGAAGGGAATTCAAAACATACTTGCAAGGTATTGAATTCTGGGTTGATAGACCTTTTTTCTTTCATCACTTTATTTTTTAAAATTTAAAAATTTTTCTAATTAGTTATACATGACAGCAGAATGCATTTCGATTCATTGTACACAAATGGAGCACAGCTTTTCATTTTTCTGGTTTTCATTTTTCTAGTTGCTAGTACGGGATGTAGAGTGACACCACATGTGCAGTCATACATGTACCTAGGATAATGATGTTCATCTCATTCCACCATCTTTCCCACCCCCCTTCTCTCCCTCCCTCCACTTTGCCAATCAAGCTCCTCTATTCTACCCATGTGCGCACCCCTCCTGCCCCCATTATGGGTCAGCATCAGCTTATCAGACTACATTCGGCCTTTGGTTTTTTGGGATTGTCTTACTTTGATTAGCATGATATTCTCCAACTCCATTTACCTGTAAATGCCATAATTTTATTCTATTTTAATGCTGAGTAATATTTCTTTGTGTATATGTACCACAGTTTCTTTATCCATATATCTGTTGAAGGACATCTAGATTGGTTCCACGGTTTAGCCATTGTGAATTGAACTGCTATCTTTCATCACTTTAAAAATCACTGTTATCTTTTTTTATAAATCATGCATGCTGAAATTCTATTATAATTCTTATTTTTGTTTCTCTACATGTAACATGGTTCCCCCTCACCCAGCTGCCTTTAAGATTTTTTTTTAAAGAGAGAGAGAGAATTTTTTCATATTTATTTTTCAGTTTTTGGTGGACACAACATCTTTATTTTATTTTACATGGTGCTGAGGATAAAACCCAGCGCCCCGCGCATGCCAGGCGAGCACATTACCGCTTGAGCCACATCCCCAGCCCATGCCTTTGAGATTTTATTTTTGACTCTCTCTCCCCTGGGAGATTGCCTGCATTCTCCCTTGAATGTGTATGAGCTTTTTAAAAATTGGTTGTGTCTCTGGGTGGCAGGGAGAAAGAACAGAAAAAAAAAAATTCGGGGGGTGAGGGGAGTCAGGCGGCAGCGAGCAGTACCAGGGACTGAACTCAGGGACACTCAACCACTGAGCCACATCCCCTATTTTGTTTTTCATTTAGAGACAGTGTCTCACTGAGTTGCTTAGCCCCTCGATTTTGCTGAGGCTGGCTTTGAACTTGTGATCCTCCTGCCTCAGCCTCCTGAGCTACTAGGATTACAGGTGTGCTCCACTGCAACCCAAGTTTCTTGGCTCTGTGGATTGTGTCTACCATGAATTTTGGAAAATTTCTGCTTATTGTGTCTTGGTCATTATATCATTTTGGCTTTCTTCTGCCCATATGGTCTTCTGGTTTCAATGATATCCATATTGGGTTCGTTCTTAGTGTACAGGATTTTTTTTTTCTTTTTGTAATACTGGGGATCCAACCCAGACCTTATTCATCTTGAGCAAGCACCTTATCCCTGCCTTCATGTTGTGCAGAAACTCTTGGATGCTCTTTTCTTTCCCCCCTCCTCTATTATTTTTTCTCTTTGTGTTTTTAGCTTCTATTGACTGAAATGTTTCTATTGACTTCTTATTTACTTCACTGATTATTTTCTCCACTTTGTTGAGTTGTTAGATGAAGCCGTTTAAGGCATTCTTGTCATGGTTTTTTATTTCTCGTTTTTCTGTTGATTTCTTAGAGTTCTAATTTTTCTGAGGATATTACCTATATGAACTTACTTGTTTTTAGAAATAAGTTAGAGCCTTTGACATATTAATCATACTTACTTTAAATTCCTTGTCAGATAATTTCAGTATATGTGTCATATTATGAGGTGAATTTTATTGATTGCTTTGTCTTTTGCTAGTATTTTGGGGGGTTTTGCCTTCTATACTTTGCAAATTTTTCATGAAAGTTAAGATATTTTAGATGGGGCAGTATATAAAGTATTTTACCTTAGACTAGAAATGGGTACACTTTTTCTCCTGCCAGACCTTTCATGTGGGAGATTTGAGTTAATATAGTCAGGAGATAGGCTGAGTTTGAGGTTTGTTGTTTCTGTGGTTATCCACAGTGTACCACAGGCTTCACAATCCTTTAGTAATGCCTTATTTTAGAGTAGGGGCTGGTTTGCCAGAGGGCTTTTCTCAGTGTCTTCCCTTCCTTCATACCACCTCAGAAAAAGGTCTGTCTCCAGGTATATTTGAAACTGCAGGGATGCTTCCTGTGATTCTGATAAAGCCCCAGTCTTATGCTGAATTATGTTTTTGTATCTGGGTATTTGACCTTTTAATTTTCCTGCCAACCCCAGGCTGTAGTCCTAGGCCTAATATATTATTTCTCTTGTCTACCCACTTTGTATTCCTATTGCCTCTTTCAGAAATGAATATTTTTAAGTTGTATATCACTTATACAAAAAAGTTATAGACCTTTTTGTATAAGTGATGTATTTAGTTATAACAAGAGTTTCTAATATGGACCACATGTATTCCCTTGGAGGATTAGATATTTAAACAGTTTTGTATCTTATTTTTTTCAGTGTTTATTGAAGAAAATTGGCTTGTAGCTGATAACATTTTTATGTTATTGTATAAAGTGCATCAGTAAAAATGTTTAATTTTCAGCCCTTTTATATATAGTGTACATAATTATATTTCTGCTTATTAGAACCAGATCAATAGTAATCATCTTAGAAGAGCAGAACAAGAGGTGGTCAGTCTACAGGAGAAGGTACACTATCTTTCTGCACAGAACAAAGGACTGCTTACTCAATTAAGTGAAGCAAAGCGCAAACAAGCAGAGATTGAATGCAAGGTAAATATGTCAGATAGCTGGTTTATGGTTTTTGTCAATGTAATAATGCCTTTCTTTATATCTATATCTGTCTATATATATATGTTGTAGATGGACACAATATCTTTACTTTGTTTATTTATTTTTATGTGGTGCTGAGGATTGAACCCAGTGCCTTACATGTGTGAGGCAAGCGCTCTATCTCTGAACCACAACCCTATCCTCCTGCCTTTCTTTTATAGGTTGTTTCATCATGACTAGTTGTTGTTTGTTTGTTTGTTGTTTTGTTTAGGTACCAGATATTGAGCCCTGGGATGCTTAACCCCTTGGCCATATCCCCAGCCCTTTTAAAACATATTTTATTTAAAGATAGGGTCTCACTAAAGTTGCTCAGGGTCTCACTAAGTTGCTGAGGTGGCTTTGAACTTGTGATCCTCCTGCCTCAGCTGCTGAGCTGCTAGGATTACAGGCTTGCGCCACTATGCCCCATGTTTTTTTTTTTTTTTTTTTTTAAGCCAATCTACTTCCCACTTCTGAAATTGCTTTGGTGGTGCTTTCATACAAGGTTAGCTCATCTTGCTTCTGGGATGGACTTCAGACAAGAAATATTTTTAGCCACGTACTTGGTTAATTTCCCACATTGGCATTTACTAGAATCCCTTTACAGTGTTTATTTTGACTAATAGCCCTTTAAAACTGAAGCTTTTAATAACTCAACCCAAAACATGTAATTTGGAAAAGCAGAGGCTCCATTGGTTTGAGTGTTATCTTGTTAGTGGGAAGTAAATATTGATGTATGTTTTCTGGAAAGAATAGAGAGCAAAATAAATGTATATGTACCTTGGCTCAGGATAAAATGGATCATTTCCCATAGTTCTTTTAATCAGTTTTTCTGTGTGTGTGTGTGTGTGTGTGTGTATGTGTGTGTGTGTCTGTGTGTCTGTGCGCGGGTGCGCGCAAGCCAGTGAGTGGTGAGAAGTGTTTGATTCAGAAAGCATCAAAAGTATTGAAATCAAGGATATTTTCCCCTAAAATAAATTTACACACTTAACAGTGATGAGAGAGATTGGAGAGTAAAGTATAGGAGAGGGAGGGGATGTGTGTGTTTGTGTGTGTGTGTGTGTGTGTGTGTGTGTGTGTGTGTGTGTGTGTGTATAAGGGGTTGGGGGGGAGAAAGAACTAGAGATAAGTGTAGTCTGCATATTAGAATGGATTACTGAAGACAAGTTATGAAATTTTGAAATAAACTAAACATCTACTTAGTAGATGGTAGGAATGATACCCTTTAAATATTCTAGCCTTCTTTTTCTATGAGAAGTAAGACTTTGTAAGTGGTACATTATAAAGCTGTAATTCCATCAACTTGTTCTAGTGTCATTAAAAACCAAGAGTAAAGCTTGAGTGGTTTATCAGTGTCATTGAAATCCAGAGATGAAATTACATCCTAATAAATATGCATGGCTCTTACAAATTTATACTGTGACAGAAATATGTAGGTAGTACTAAAATTTGTGATAATTTAAGCATAATCCCATTTGAAGGATGTACATGGACTAATTAAAAATAAAATGATGTGAAATGAGGTTATATTAATCTGATTTATTATACAAATCTGATTTTTTATGATGCTGAATTATCTGTCCTCAATTAAATTTAATCTTTTTGCATTCTTGATGTAAGTTTTCTTTAAATATTTCGATAACAATGTTATTAGACTTGATATTGCTTCTTAAATATCTTAGCACCTGTTAGTGAAGTAAAATGTTGTTTGAAAATAAGTATATATACAACTTACTGATAAAAATAGTTATCTGAGTTTATCTAAGTAATGGGTGCAGATCAGAATATTAGAGGATTTGAGGAACTGATACAGAATTTTATTTAATTTTTAGTGTTCATTAATAACTCTATAAAAACTATGTTATAGATGCTAACTCTGATTACTGTATGTTTAAGCTATATATTAATTTACTCAGTCTTAGGAAATGCTGTTTGCAGATTTTAACAATTAATAAAATGAAATGTCATCCTAACACCTAGTACTTTCTGACTAAATATATATATTTTACCTTGTCATGTTGATAGAATTCAGAAACAAATTAACTTTCTAAGGAATCCAGTCCTTGAATTATATAAATCTGAATCATTTTCAGTTAGTTTTATATAATTATAGCTCATGATTGGTTGATATTAGTCATAAAAGCTCATTTTATTTTTTACTTATACAAAATATCAGGAAATGGTAATATTGTTGTTTCCCTCTACAACTAAATTTGAATATTAATACAAGTCTCTGATCCCTAGTTTCAAAATCCAAAATACTCTGAAACCCAAAAGTTTCAGAAATTTCACACAAATTCATTTCAAGGCAAAACCTGATTTGAGTTGACATATGGCCACTTAAAATTTGTTTTTTACCCCAGTTTGTGTGGATATTTATACTTCACTTTTCATTATAGATGCTGCCTTAGACACTTTTCTAAAATCTGAAAAAAATCTCAATTCCAAACACAAGTAGTTTATTACTTTTGTTTTGTTTGCTACCCTAGAACAAGGAAGAAGTGATGGCTGTGAGACTTCGAGAAGCAGATAGCATAGCTGCTGTGGCTGAACTGCAGCAGCACATTGCTGAGCTTGAAATCCAGGTACATATAAAAATAATAGAATACATCTAAAAATAATGTCATAGTCCCCGTCTCTTCTCTGTGTACCTGATGAAAGACTTATCTGTTTCTTTATCCCCATGACTGTATTCTAGTTTCAATATTTACTCATTTCCAAGTCCTTTTTTTCTTATTGTGGTGAAACATACATAACATAAAGTTAGCTCTTTTAAAAAATACAGTTTCATGGTGTTATGTGCATTTATGTTGTTGTACACCTATCACCACCATCCGTCTCCAGAAATTTTTCATCTTCTCTGACTGAAAATCTGTGTCTGTTAAACATTAATTTCCCATTCTCTTCTCCCTCCAGCCTCTGGTAACCCACCATTATATTTTCTATATCTATGAATTTGACCAGTCTATCTACCTCACATAAATGGAATTATGTAATTTTTTTGTGACATTTCACTTAGCATGATGTCCTTAAGGTTCATTTGTATTATAGCATATGTCCAAATTTTCTTCCTTTTTAAGGCTGAATAACATTTCTTTGTGTGTATATACTACATTTTGATTATGTATTCCTTCATTGCTCCACCTTTGGGCTATTGTGAATGATGCTACTGTGATCATGGGAGCACAAATATCTTGGGAGTCCATGAATTTACTTCTTTTGAGTATATATAGCACTTGGAAATAGAATTTCTGGATTACGTAGTTCTACTTATTTTTTTGTGAAATAGTTATACTGTTTTTGAAAGCAACTATATTATTTTACATTTCTACCAGCAGTACACAAAAGTTCCATTTTCTCCATATCCTTACCAACGCTTGCTAATTTTCAAGGGGTTTTTAAAAATAATCTGCCATTGGGCTGCGGATGTGGCTCAAGTGGTAGCACGCTTGTCTAGCATGCGTGAGGCACTGGGTTAGATTCTCAGCACCAGGTAAAAATAAAATAAAGGTATTGTGTCACCTAAAACTAAAAATAAAATATTTTAAAAATAATAATAATCTGCCATTCTAAAGGGTATGAAGTGGTAGCTCTTTGTAGCTTTGATTTGCATTTCCCTAATAATTGGTAATGTTGAGCATCCTTTTACTTGCTTGTATGACATTCGTTTATCTTCTTTGGAGATCTATGCATTCAAGTCCTTTATCCAGTTTTGAATCAGGTTGTTTGTTGGTGATGAGTTAGTTGTAAGACTTACTTATGTGTTCTAAATATCAACCTCTTATGGATATATGGTTTGCAAATATTTTTTCTCATTCTATGGATTATCTTTTTTTCTTTGTTGATTTGTACTTATGGACAAAAGTTTTTAATTTTCCTGAAGTCCAAAACTTTTGCAAAAATCTGTTTTCTGTTTTTGTTGACTGCTTTCCAAATCCATTTTTGAGTGACAGTTTATTGTATATCTATATTGTCAAAGCTGTTTTTCAAAGAAAATTCTGAGCTTTAAAAGGAAATATATTAGTTAGGTGCAGTAGCGTGTGCCTGTAATCCCAGCAGCTGGGGAGGCTGAGATAAGAGGATTGTGAGTTCAAAGCCAGCCTCAGCAAAAGCAAGGCACTGAACAACTCATTGGAACCCTGTCTCTAAATAAAATACAAAATAGAGCTGGGGATGTGACTTAGTGGTCAAGCAACCCTGAGTTCAATCCCGGTACCAAAACAACAACAACAACAAAAACATATTATTTTGTCATCTCAAATGTCCTCCTTATTGTACAATATGGTAAGATGAGAAGTTTCCGATATATAATGAGTATTATGTTTAAAAATCTGTGTCTTTCAAATTGGGTAAGTTGTTTTGTTTGATTATTTGAGACAGGTTTTTGCTATGTTACTCAGGCTGTCTCAAACTCCTGGGCTCAAGTGATTCTCCTGTCTCAGCTTTGCCCTCTGAAGTAGCTGGGACTATAGGTATTGAACCATGGCTCCTGACTCAAAATGGGTTTTTTTTGTTTGTTTTGCTATACTTGGGATAGAACCCAGGGTCATTCCAGCTAACTACCAACTAACTATACCCGAAGCCCTTTTCATTTCTTAGTCACTTTAAGTTTCCCAGGCTGGCCTCAACTTGTGATCCTCTTGTCTCAGCCTCTAGAGTTACCGGGATGGATTCCAGTTGTGCACCACTGTGCCAAACTTTGGTTCAAAGTTTTTTTTCTTATTACATTTTACTCCAAATCACAGTGTAATTTTTGTTGCAACATTTAGAATTTTATTTTCATCTGAAATTTCCTTTTGTTCTTAAATCTCAATTCAAAATTCAGTTAATTTTAAAATTTCCATATTATATTATAACCTAATTTTTTGATCTCCATCAAAATTATGATGTTATAATATGTATACATTTATAAAAAGGTATTCTTTATGTTTTTTTGGTAATACTCCCCATAAAGTGTACACTCAGAAATGAACAATTTGCTTAATATACTTATAATCAGTTATTTAAATCCAGCTACCATGTACTAGTCCAGTTTTACTTTTCTGACATCAAGAAAATTATACAAATTTACCATGTCTATATATCTTAGTCATAAAATAGCAAGATTTAAATCACTTCTTTTGTTGATTCTAAAATACTTATTAAAATGAAGAGCTTGGCATGCTGTATGTTTTGTTTAAAGTGAACTATATTTGCATCATTTTAGAAAAATTAAAATAAGGTGCATGGTATTGGGGTATTTTTTTTTTTAGCATCTCCTCAACCTGTTGCCCCAAACCAAGCCCCTGGCAGCTACCATTCTACTTTGTAGGTATGAGTTCAACTTTTTTAGATTCCTCATATAAGTAAGATCATGGGGTATTAGTCTTTCTCTGCCTGGATTATTTCACCTAGCATAATCTCCTCCAATTTTATCCATTTTGTCACAAATAATAGGAATTCCTTCTTTTTTAAGACTGAATAGCATTCCATTGTGTATACTTACTTCATTTTCTTTTTCCATTCATCCACTGATGAATACTTAGGTTGGTTCCATATCTTGGCTATTGTGAATAATGCTACAGACATATCTCTTCAACATACTAATTTTATTTCCTTTGGATATATAACCAGTAACAGGATTGATGGATCATATGGCAATTCTGTTTTTAATTTTTTGAGGAACCACCATACTATTTTCCATAATGTATATGCTAATTTATATTCCCACCAGCAGTGTACAAGGATTCCCTTGTCTTCACAGCCTCTCCAACACTTGTGTTGTTTTATTATTTTGATAATAGCTGTTCTAACAGGTTTGAGATGATGGAATTTTTTTTTTTTTTTACTATTAATAGGAGTATGTTAGCAGCAGTTTGCTCACTGTTGGTGAAGTGATCACTGAAATCCTGATTTATAGATTTACTGGTTATTTTTTCATCTATCACTGCTTGTCCTTATCCTTAGGTCATTGTTCACCTCTTCTTCCTCCTTGCATTCTCTCCTCCTCTGGCTTTCCTAACACCACTTATTTTTGTTTTTTGTTTGTTTGTTTGTTTGTTTGTTTGTTTTTGGTGTTGGGAATTGAATGCAGGGCCTTGTTCATCCAAGCCACATACTCTACCAACTGAGCTATATCCCCAGCTCTCTAACACTACTTATTTTTTATTCTCTTCTTTCTTGTTTAACTGTTGTTTCCAGTCCTCTCTATCCATTCTGAGTGTTTGTGTTCTTGAGAATCCACGTTTCGGGCTCTTAAAAACTATGGAAATGAAAGGTCTCATTTACATCTTTGTAACAAAGAATTATAATTTATCTCCAGCCTTAACCTCTTTCTCCTATCAGTTTTTAAACCTTTTGAAAACATTATTAAGCACAATATCTACAGAAGTTCATAAAACAAAGCTACATTAATATATTTTTAAAACTTCACATTTAACTGCTACTAAGGTAAAGATAGGGAACAGTGCTTCTGCTCAGGGAGTCCACCCACTCACACCCTACTCCTTCTGACTTTTATGACGGTCATTCCATTACTGTTCCTCTGGTTTTGTCATCTTTGTGTACATTTCTGATCCATAAAGTTTAGTTTTCCCAGTTTATCAATTTTGTATGAGATGATATTTAATATTTTCTTTTGTGTCTTTTTTTTCATTGTTCAACTTTGATTTTCTAAGTCCTCATTTTTATTGTTGCATGCATTTTCATTTTTAAAATATAGCACAGTGTATTTACTTATTTTACTACTAGTGGAATAAGTAAATCGGGAATTTCCAGGTTGATGTTATTGTACACAATGCTATGACGTTGAATAATTATGCACACTGCATTGGTCATATGTACACAAGTTTCTCTAGCATGTATACCAAGATGTGGAGTTGCCAAGTTGTAGGGCTTACGAATCTTCAACTTTATTTTTCCAAAGTGCTTGTAATAGTTTAGACTCTCAATAGCTGCATATGAAAGTTCTTGTTGGTCCACATCCTCCCCGGTGCTTGATGGTGTCACATGGTTTATTTTTGCCAATCTGGTGAGTATGCAGTGATCTTTTGTCACAGTTTTAATTTACATTTCATTACTAAAAAGGTTAGCCATTTGGGTTCCTGTTTTTGTAAAGTACCTAATAAGGTTTTTTGCTTATATTTTTATTAGGCTGTCTCTTGCTTATGGATATATAGTTTCTTATATATTAATGTTCTTCAAATGTTTTGCGAATATCTACTCTTAGTCTATGACTTGTCTTTTGTCTTTATCATGTATTTGGTAAATAGGCCAGTAATTTGAATAGTTCCACCTGAAAGTTGTACAACACCTTGAATTAAACGTGTTTAAAGTCAGACATGTTTGTTTCATCCATAATGTTTTCCTTCTTTCATATCTCAAGTCTTGATTCATGGATCATCTCTTATCAAATTATTCAACCTACTAGTAACTTCAGGTATCTTTTTTTACCCTATAACATAATATGTATATATAAGGTGTGCAAGTTTTCCACATGTTAGTAGATAACAAATTATTTTACAAAGTGCTTATGCTAGTTTACTTTCCTACCAACATTTTACCTAATCCTATGGATTTTACTTTAGACAATTCTTAATGGCTTATA